TTTTTTTTTTTTTTTTTTTTTTTTTTTTTTGGTACCAGGGATCGTACTTGGGTCCTTGCGCTTGCAAGGCAGGCCACCGAACCGCTGAGCTAAATCCCAGCCCAAAACAAGCTATTCTTTATAAGGATACTTATATACCAGGAAAGAAGGGGGCAGGGAGAAAGTTACTTGAAGAGAAGGGAAAAAAGAAGAGTAGGAAGGGAAGATAGATTGAAAGTGAGAGAAGATATAGGGAGATTGAATCTAATTAATAAACTAGCAAAAACACAGAAACATCAAGGAAGAAACCTTGGGTAGGGGGCAACATAAATTATAAAACAAGGACAGATGCTACAGAATAAAAAGCAATATTATAATTCAATACACAGTTACATACATACACTCTTACACTAAAAAGAGGAGGAAAGAGAAAAAATAGATTTTAATGGTAATATTTAATGCATAAAAAAGTTGAGAAAGGGATAGTTGAAAGGGTTTGAGAATTCAAAGAAAGAGATGGCGAGGAAATATAAATGGAAAATGAGAGAAGATATATGAAGAATGAATCCAATTAGTGAAGCAACAGACTACAAATTAAACCCTATGAACAAATCTTAGTGTAGGAGATCGTGATGTAACAAGGTAAGACACTAAGCCACTATAGAAGAACAGGCAGTAACTAGCACTTATAAACACTGTGCATACCCGTATTTCCCCAGGCACATACAAAATGAAACACAAAGAAAAATAAATAAATAAATAATCCGATTCTGGATTCTGCTTGATAAAATGAAGGTGTGTATGAAAATCATTTTTAAATTATTCTTCCAGAATTCTTCTCTGTTTCTGTCGAAGTAGGAGAGCCCCATTTGGAGAAGAAAGGAAGATGAGCTCTGCCCCTCTGTGGTTGTGGTTGAGTTCTATAGTAGATTTGCTAGTGGCAGGATTTAACTCCATACCTAGAAATGAGGCCATCAGAAAATCCAAACTGAATCTGTCACTTCGTAGTGTATGGGTAATTCTAGATTGTAAGCCACAGCCTTGCAAATTTCTGTGCTCTAGACATGCCTTTAGAGACCTGGTTGGCCCGTGACTGCATGCTGCTGTATTAACCTGGAATGCCGCTGACAAGATCAGAAGTGATTAGGGCATAGGGTCTGTGTTTTTATTTGGGGTAGTGGGTGATCAGCCTTTTGCTGGTTTCTGCAGAAGGGGTGCCCCCAGACTCAGATCCCCTCCCACTGCAAAATCCCTCATAGCTGAATTCACTCACTGCCTTGTGCTATATTCAAACTACTGTTTACACTGTCCATTTAGCTCCCCTTCATCGCCTCTATTCTCCCTGCCCAGAATTGCATCTCCTGTGAGTCAGGGACTGAGGTGTTTCTCCTGATCTTTGTGATTTTAGTTTTACTTTGCCACAGTCACTTTTCTCCTGGGCCAAAACTATTAGGGTGTGTATTTGTTTCCTCCCTGTAGCTTGGTTGCAATTATGTCTTGGGATTATGGAAAATGTGGAGATTTTTCTGAGAGTAGGTAGAAGGACTTAGGATGGCTTCCAGGCCCCAAATTCACCCCATCCATTTCCTGCCTGCTCTACCAAGGCAAAAAGTAGAGGCACCTCCAAACTGTCTCCAGAAGCCTACCCTGTGCATGTGGAGAATTTTAAAATTATAGACATGAGTTGAGCGGAGAGAGTTATGAGAGAGTGAATGTGCCTTGTTCCTAGATTCTATTATGCAAATATCTTTATGCAATAGCTGGAGAAAATAAAACAGTATTTGTAGATATGTTCTTTTGGAAGGGTTTCTTCTGTCTGTATGAGCTACATATTCCTAAGTGCAATTTTTCAGTTACAAGGTCATTTTCTGGTTTCTGGGCTGCCCATCCTCCTCCCTAGGGATCTTCTAGCCCTTGCAGGTGATAAAGAAAAAGAGGCTATGTTAGAGCCACCCAGCCTCCAAAGCAAAGCAGAGGGCACCTGCTTATGGATCCCAAGATTGGCATGGGTTGCAGAGACTTGTCATTGTTATTTTTAAATCCTTAATTGTTTTCCATTTACTTCAGAATATTCTTTGAAAAATGTTTATTTTGCCATCTTAAAAGTTTGGTATTGTGCCTTCTCCCACGTTACAAATCTATAACATTAGTAAATATTTTTACATTAGCAGAGATTAAATTCTGGTGTCTTTGTCTTTATGTCTCCAAACAAATAAAACACTGTTAGAAAGCCAGAACTGCAGTAGAATTTAAAATGTATTTGTATATAAAAATTTTAAAAAATCGTCTATCAGCACATATATCTATTTCCTAATTTAATTTGTGGGGTTTCATAAATTTATCTTGAATAATGTTTATAGGATATGCCTCTATAAATCATGTAAAATAATTTCTAAGGGTAGTGAAATGAGTTGGGGTATATTGAAGTATCGTTACGCTATATTTAATGTAATTGCATATAGAATGAAATTGCTAATAGCATTTCATTGGAATGAATTATGATCAAATTTTTCTTAACTGCTTGATATAATTTTGTCACTATTTTTACAAGTTAGAGTTCTCTGGGTTTGTATTATTGAATCCATTGGAGTTTTACTTATTTTTGGCTAGAAGGACGAAGATTCATAGTTGAGAGACTGGCTTTTGATCTAGTTGCTGCTGTCCAATGGTAGAATGCCTTGGGATATCCACTTACAGTATTGAATATAAGTAGTGCAAGCATTATGACTATATTTAAACACTCATCATTGGCAGGAATGTGCTAAAGTCTGAATATAACATGGTAGATTATGTCATTGTCCCTACCCAACCAAAAGGATATTTTCATATGATGTGGGAGGAGGCAGATGCGGTGGTTTGGAACTAAATGTTACTTTGCTGCTGACTCACAGAAAGAGGTTAAGGGTGTTGTCTATGTTTTCTAAAGAGCATCTGGCATTTTTCATCTTGTTTATGAAGCTTCCATATGAGTTCTTTATTGCATTTTTATGCTTATTATTATATCTCTTTTTAGTTTTCCTCACAGAAGAAAAGGCCAATTCTGTATTAAGACGCTACCGAAGAGCTAATACGCTTTTTGAAGAAATCAGACAGGGCAATATTGAACGTGAGTGCAAAGAAGAGGTCTGCACATTTGAAGAAGCCAGAGAAGCTTTTGAAAATAATGAAAAAACTGTAAGTATAATTAGCAATTTAAGATTCTCACATATTTGGCTACCTTTTTTTTGGTATACTTGAAATCTATATTCCCAGAGTGCACATGCTGCTGTCAATTAAAAGCTGCTTTTGTGAAGAATTATGAAAGTAACATCTAACTATTATCTCTGTGTGGGAGAGCGCGTTCACTTCTCTGACGGCTGATATGTCTTTGAGAGCCCCGTTTCCATAAGATTCTGCTGAGCTGAAATTTATCATCCTGGCAAGGGACAAACATTTAGTTCACACGAGGCTGTGATCTGGAAGGTTAATAATGTCATAACTACTATGCCCAATCAGAGATAAAGAGTGAAGGAAGCTAATGGAAATGGACAGTGTTTTTACATGTTTTAGTTCTTGTACAAAAGAAGAAGCCACATCTGGTCCTCCTTCCCTACTCCCATGTAGTTATTCTTCTTCACCTCTCTTTATTCTAAACTACATGCTGTTTAAGGAGATCAAGGATGGGAAAACACAAAGGCAATTAAATTCACATAGTTTTGCTCCATACTTGGCAATTACATTACCAGAAGTATTTACTGTATGACAGTCCAGTCCTGTGCACCATGAAATAACACTGGATTCTAAACAAGCATTGTCCAACGTACGCCTCAAAATATGCCTCAAGCAACAGATGCAGAAAAGTTTTAAGGGAAGGGGTTTTGCTGTTTTATTAGATAGAGAGGAAAGCGTGGGTAAGACAAAGGGCCTGAAACCAAGATGCTAAAAGAAACATGATTGCTAGATTTCAGGGTGCACAACAAAAGCAAAAACACTTGATAAAGTGATAAGCTGTGAGCTTCCTCAGCTTTGCAGGGGTTTATTATTGTGTATACATAAGATACAGATCTCCTTTTTTCACATGGCTATCAGGTGTCCAAACATCACTTAATGGAAAGTTCCTCTTCCCCTAGTGATTTTAGTTATCCTCTACCAGGTACCTAAATTTCATATGTGCTTAGTCTGTTTCCAGACATTCAAGTTTAATGAACTGGGCCATCTTTCTGCTGAAATGCTAGAAGCACACTGTTATAATTATAGTGGGTATGTAGTAAGTTTTCGTGGAAATTAGAACTATTTCTCCCATACATGATCTTACTTCAGTGGTTTGTGAGCTGTTCTCGCATGCTTATGTTTACATATAAATTTTTGCTATTAACTTCTGTAGTTCCAGAAAAAAAATTTTTTTTGGTATGTTTACTCAGTTTTTTTAGTTTGTAGGCCTTCCTAAAAAAAAATCTACTTTTTGCAAACAGTTTTTCTAATCTGAGTATGTAATAGCTGTCTGTTCATGTTCATGTGGTTGTTGACCTCCAGACCTCATTACCGTTCAGGATTCTTCCCTCTTTTTCCATCCTACATCCGACCTGCAAGTAGTTGGTTCTGTGTAGTCTTGCTTCAGCTGTTTTTTTTTTTTTTTTTCTCTGTTTTTTTTTTTTTTTTTTTTTTTTTGTTACTACTTTACATCTCCTTCATCACTACCCTGTCATCCCTATTTCTTGCTTTCTCTCCTCATAATTCATTCTCAGGACAACAGGCTATACTGATACTTTAAAATCTCTTCATTCAGGTATGGGGGCACACACCTGTAATTCCAGGATTCTAGGAGGCTGAGGCAGGAGGATCACATGTCTGAGCCCAGGCTAAAATTTCTTCTCCACAACCATTTCCTTCTTTAGCAAAAGCCAAGTGCTCAGAGTTACCTACATGATGCACACAATCATTTACACCCCACATTTCCACTTCTCTACATTTGTTGTTGTTGGATTTTTGTTTTTTTGAGACAGAGTCTCTCTATGCAGTTCAGGCTGGCCTTGAACTCACTATGTAGCGCAGGCTGGCCTGTGACTTATACCTGTCACCATCTTCCTGCTTTAGCCTCCTCAGAGCTGAGATTACAGGCATGTACCACCATGCCTTGCTGCAGTTTTATCTTTACCACATCTCCTATGACACTCAACCCCATCTGCACTTTGCTGTAGCTTTCTTGTGCCTCCTCGCACACATACAGAGGACATGACCTGCCTTTGTGGCTTTAATCCTTGCTCTTTCCTTTTCCACATGAAAATGTCTGAGCTCACTGATCACTCTGTTCTTTATTCAGGTTCACTCTCTTAGTGAGGAAGTATCCTATCTGAAATTGCAAATTTGAGTCCCTTCCATGAATTATTTTTTTCCCAGCACTTATCCCCATTTAACATCCATTTGTTCTATTTGTTAATTGCTGTCTGCCCAGGATTGTTAGCTCTGTTGCAGCAGCGTTTTTGTCTGTTTTGTTCATAGTTATGGTCCCTAGCAATGCTGGCACATAACAGGGGCTAAATAAATATTTGATGAAGAAATGAACTAATGGCTTGGCATATTGCAAAATACATTTAATGCATAGTAAGAAGTGATTTAAAACTTGCTCACAAGTTGGCTGAGAGATGTGGACTTGAAAATGGTTTTGTTATGTCTGTTACTTTCTTTATAGCTTTAAAGTCTATCATCCAACTTTGCTTATGCCATTAAAATCATACCATTTGCAATAAGGTGTGCTGGACAGCTTTTCATCTAAATGTAATAAAATTGGCACTCTTATCCTTTGCTTTAGAGTAACTATTTCAGATTAGTATTTGTTAAATGCAAGAAGAATCTAGTGTTGGCAACACAGTTTCCTCTTAATTATGTTAGTGAAGAAAATGATTGAGATTTGCCTTTTGCTCTTAGACTTACTAACTTTTTGTTTGCTAAGTTTGATCATTCAGAACAGGCTCACTCATATATTTTCTTCATTCCTAGATGTGGACTATGTAAATTTAGAAGTCTATTTTCAGTAGAATGTTTATTTGTAATGCTTTATCTAATTTGGAACACAAGTATAATGATACAATGGGAAAATGTATTATTGTGCTTAATGTTCCTCATTTTAACCTGGGGCAGATTTATTCATATGTTATCTGGTGAATACCAACTATATAATAGGCACAGGACATACAGCAGTGCATAAGACCAGGGTGACCAAATTTTTTCATACTATTGTAAATAAAAGTAACTAAAACTCTTTGGAGTGATGGCTGATTGTAGTGTGGGGACATACTGTATTACCAGAAAGTAAGGAAGTTGGGCCGGGGATTTGGCTCAGTGGTTCCGCTGCCTGCAAGGGCCATAGTTCGATCCCCCGTTAAAAAAAAAAAATGAAAGAAAGAAGGTAAGGAAGTTGTAAAACAAGTAATGTGAGCATGTCTCAGGGACTCAGGTACCATCCTGAAGGAGCCTTTATTGGCCAAAACTGAACAGCTGAAGTGACAAAATAAATAATGTAGTATTGGATTATAATCAAAAGCATGAATACATAGAAACGCATAATAATACAAATAAATGAAAAAAATAAGTGTGAACAGAGACAAATCAATAGTACAGACAAACTCAAATTATGCATGCAAGTACTCTTTCCTCCAGGAACTAGAGCTTAATTCTCTGACTCCTTTGAATGCAGCCAGAATTTAAAGGTCTGCTTTGGAAGAACAGAGGATGGAAAGGGAAAAATCTGACATACACTACTTTGACTAGGTGATCAAGTTAAGCATTATAAATGATGAATTGTATACATGATACGCTTAGAAGGCACTTGATTTCTGTGTAGTTTCCCCCAAACCCATAGCCCCAGTTCAATTAATGAGAACGCTACAAAGAAATCAAAATTAAAAGACATTCTATAAAATATATAACTTTATTAATCAGCTCCCATTTTTGTGCCCAAATACCTGAGAAAATCAACTTAAAAGGAGAAAATATTTATTTTGGCAGTTTAGCTGAGATGTTTTAGTCCATGTTCATTTGGTCCTGTCACGTAGGGCTTATGGGAAAGCGGAACCTCATGGCAGAGGACCTGTGGCAGTGAAGGCCTGCTCATTTTATGATGACTAGAAAACAAAAAAAAGACAAGAAAAGGCTAGGATCCCAATAGTTCCTTCAAGGGCATGCCTCTAATGACCTAACTTTCTCCCAATAGACACCCCCTCTCAGTAGTGCCATTGGCTGGAGACTAAGCCTTCAACACATGGACCTTTGGGTGACATTTAAGATCCAAACCAAACAGGGTGTGGTAACACATGCCTGTAATCCCAGCTACCCTAGAGCATGAGACAGATTCAAGGTCAGCCTGGGCAATTTAGTGAGACAATGTCTCGAAATAAAAATAAAAAGGGCTAAGGGTGTAGCTCAGTGGGAGAGCACTAGACTAGCATGTGGGAGGCCCTGGGTTCACTCCCCAGAACTGCAGAATAAAAATAAACTCATAACAATGCTTACTAAAAATTGTAAAACTATTCTTTCAAGGTTATTAAAAACAAAAGACTGACTGGGAAACTGTTACAGACCAGAGGAGACTAAAGGAACATGATGATTAATTGAAATGTAGATTACATTCTCAAACAAAAAGGATATCAGTGGGAAAATTCGAAAAATACACATTTAGAAATATCTTATTAACAAATGCCCCATGATAATGTATATGTTAGCACTAGGGTAAGTGATGAGGGGCATAGGAGAACATTTTGTATTACCTCTAACTTTTCTGTAAGTCTAAAATTATTCCAAAATTAGAGAGTTCATTTAAAAATGTACAGTCCAGGGTTCACAGGTCATCATGGGGCCAGGGAACATGTTTTAATATATCCTAAAGTAAGTTGTTTAGCTAAAATCATGTAGTTACAATATTCATTGAGCTGCACATGAGTATAATTTCCAGGGTGTGAATGACTGTCTTGTCTGGATGCATCATCCTAAGTCTTTATCCCATTCCCTGTACTTTTCATGCTCCAAACTACCTCCAAGTTTTGGCTGTATTTTAGAAATAGTTATTACTATTTAAGGGCTTGAGATCTAATTTGAACAATCTCCTTTTAAAAAAATACTTTTTATTCTGAAATGTTCCAATTTAGTTTTTCGTAGAAATTGTTGAAGGGAAGGGAAATATGCAGTGCTGATTCAAAATA